ATGCTAATCAGATAGGTAATTAATAATTATTAATGAAGAACACATAATGACTCATTGAAATTGTACGTAATATTTTTTAATTTTTATAACATTGTTCAATATAATCATTAAAAACCGTACAAGTAAATTTTATAGGACCATGATTTTTGTTTGTAACGAAATTGAAGTTTTCCAGGGAATAGGTACTTCGCTCATTTTTTAATTACATATTATAGCTGCATAATTTCGTTACAAAAATAATGCCACCATGGGTAAATTGACTTTTACAGTTGTGCATAGCAGTTCATGGCGGATTTATTGTCATAATAATGAACAATATTACATTAAGAAATTCGTGAGAATCACGAGTAAATTAAAATTGTCCTTTCTTTCCATTTTGGCTATAGCTGGGCCCTCGATATATATAAATACCAAATGACCCTTGGCGATCCCTGGCCGCCGGGTGGGCCGGGAGAGCCTGTCTGTACTACTACCTACATCATAAAATGTTCAAAATAGGCATTTTAAATGTTGAAAAAAAATTTTTCTTATTATTTATCAATGCAATCTAAAATCTTGAACAATTAATACAAGAATAACAATGAAGATTTTAAGTTCCTTCAGGTTTCTACGAAATTAGTCAATATCACGAACATTTGCAAATCATTTTGTGGTTCAAAATTTATAAAATGTTTAATTTTTATTGCTTGGACGTTTTTAAACGATGTATCTCAGTGGGTAATATTATAATTAAAAATCTAAAAAAATATAGGTATAAGCACAGATTTTTTATAGTTATTTTAAGTTTAAACTTGGAGAAAATTAGATGTTTAAACGAAGATTAACGATATTTTTTATTTCGTTATAACTCAAAAACATTATTTTTGGTGACTATTATAACATTTACTCATATTATTATATTTTATATACACAATGAAATTGTATAATGCAATGTTTTCTGAAACATTTAATGGCATGCAGTGCAGTGTAGCCGTAGGTACCCTAAAAACTCCTGTTTTTTTTTAAGAATGTACATAATTATACAAAAATCATGCATGAATCATGATATAGGTACCTACATATCGCCGTTCCGGTAGAACAATGACGCAACTCCAAAATTTTTTATGAATTGCCTAAATGCTACAATGAGTTTAAATATAGCGTACGCATAATGTAGAAAAACGACGGAACTGTAGTTGTATTTTAGACCTCCAGAGGGCAATTGCGTCGTTGTGGAATTATCAGTTTGTACACTCATAAATAATTAACAATTTAGTTTTTTGGGTTTCCTGTAAAATTGCAATTATTGCAGTTGCGTCATTGTTCTACCGGGACGGCGATATGTACATATGTATACCCACCTAGGTATGTAGGTACACAGGCCTGCTCAGGACGTGTTAACGTTGGAACAATATTCTAGTTTACAGCCTTCGCTTGTAAGTTAACGGTGAAAAATTTCAAAAAATATTGTTTTCCCAAAACGCGATTTTTTTTAATAGAACACTTAGAATTAAATTTGAGATGAATTTGAACTAAAAATGAGATGCAAGTACTTATTGCCTTTAAAGATCTTAATTCTTAATTATATTTTATTTAGTTGAAATACATATATTATGTCAACTAAAAAAAATAGCAAGAAGTACCTACATATAGGAATAAACGTGTTAAAAAATTAAATAAATTAAAGCAGATAATTATTTTTAGGTTCTATTTAATACTTGACGATACCAGTTACATTGGTAAAAAAAATTTTTATACTGTAGGTACCATGGTCGTTTATTTTTATTCAAAACTATAATTGAGAACAATGCAAATATGTAGCATGAATTATAAATTTGTCGATCGCAACGTAGTGTTGTACTGTTGTCAAAATAAACCAAGAAGTCAAGATCGCGTTTCGCGACCGCGCAAGGCAAAACGTATTACTGTATTAGCTAGGTAGGTACCTTTAGACAAGGTAAAAATTAAAATTAATAATTTGTGTTAAGTTATATTATTTTATTTTATTTATTATTATTAATTAGTCTAGACACATTTAATGTAACAGTTACCTAGAATGGGTATTATTTAAATAGCGGATCCTTGGAAATAATAATATAATATTTAATTCCACGTAACCCGTACAGTTGTAGGTCTATAAAGGTAAGTAAGCATAATGTCTAGACTCTTTTGTTTTGTTTTTATAACAATTTTAAATCAGTTATAATATCTACTTATACCTCTTATATATATAATTAATGTATATATATCAATACGGGTATATGTGTATACAATTTAATATGAAATACCTATGCTATAAAGCATATAGGTACCTACTGTACAATTCTTATATTTGAGTTTTGAAATTTGTCATTCTTCATCAAGACTTCAAGGAGGATTAATGTTGGTAGTTTAAAATTTTGAATATTATAATATTATATTTATTTTATCTGCTCAAATATATACACACTTTTACAATGAATCATGATGGATACCGATATGACAATAATGGTAAAAAAAAATGGAATCACGTAAGTACCTAATCATACATCATATTATAATAAAAATATATTATATATATACCGAATTTTTTTTAACCATAGTTGATTAAGCTAATACACATTATAGCTACCTATTACATTTTTTTATAAATAATTTTATGTATACATTATATATTATTTTATATTAGATTCTGAGCGGATCGATGAATGTGTTGATTTTACAAAGATGTGTTTTTTTTTTATATAATTTGTTTCTGTGTACCTACACGATAAGTAGTTGAAATAATGCTTCGATTTCCAACTTGGAAAGTTTTACACTACAGTGAATCTATATTGTACCTATGAAAAATAATTTTGATTTTTTTATATAGGTAATGATACTAAATAATAAGTACCTAATTAAAATCATTTAATTTTTTTAAATAAATTATTTTAAATATTTTTATATAATGATAAATTATTAGACATACAACTCACTTTTTATGGCTCGGACTTTTTTACCGCAATTCTAAATTTTCAGTCATATCTATGCTGTAAAAATTTACATTTTATACATTACTAATTGGCAAAAGAATTTGAAAAATTTCGTAATTTTGACGAATTTGACCTATAACGCTCATAATAAAAAATATTTGATTTACGTAAGAACAACTTATGAGGAATATTACATTAAAAACTGTTATAATAACTAAATGAAAAATACATTTTAAAAAGTAGAAATTTTAAAATAGGTAGTTAAGAGGTACCTATAAATAGAAAAAAGTCAAAATACTTTTTAAATTATACGATGTATAGAAAATACAAATTTTTTTGAGTAATAATTCCCGTTTTTCTTCTTTTAGTTATAGTTTTTCTCAATTAATTTGAAAAGTACTGGAAAGTTTTTTTATTTTTTTTACCTTCCGAAAGTACCAACTAGATTACCCTCAAAGTGAAGATCGAATCCAGTAGCGTCATCAGATATTGGGGGGAGGGGAAGGGCACATTTTTTTCTGGTGGGGTATTTATGTATCGATACTCGATCACCCACTAATTTGCTTATATCATATATTCAGAAAGTAGTGCTTACTCGTAAAATTTTTTGGGTATAATATGCTATAGGTATTTCTAAATAATAAAAAAAATATTTAAATAAATAATTGGTAAAATGTCTTTATTTACTTACATTTATTTAACATAATGGAATTCAAAGTATACTATAGGTATATTAAGGTATATCCTAAATACTTATAATACGTTTTATATAAACTTGATATAAAGTTATATGACTTATGACATACGAATGTGTTATATACACATTCATATTTTATGTTCATTGCAATTAAACATAATATACAGAGAGGGCTTTTTAAATATCTAAATATCACTGTAAAAAATGTCATGGGTAAATTTACACAAAATGTGTGGCAACACACATTAATAACACCATGTGTGTACATTTACAACATACAACTTGCAAATTTACATTCTTTTAAAGTTGAAATTTATTAACTTATTTGGTGTGTAAAGTTATCAGTAAGTCATAGTCGAAATTTACTTATTCATACTATTTGCAAATTTAACAATTAATATTGGTTGAAACTAACCAACCTATTTGACTTGTAAGTACATATTAGTCACCAGGAGTTGAAATTTATACTTATGAGTAAGTAAATTTAAGAATTAGTAGCAGTTGAAATTCACTAACTTTCAACTTGTAAATTAATCCATGAACTGTAAAATGTACCTCCAAGTTCATGTAGGTATATTTCATTGGGTTATGAGGTAATTTAAATTTGTTAGTTAATCATGCTGATATTTACTAAACTAAAATAAAAATCAATAAATGCAATTTATATTTTATTTTGTTAGCATTATTTATTTAATTTAATTATTATGATTATATCTAAATATCAACATACCATTAGTTATTACTTATTAGTATTAAATGAATATAAATAATTACAAATTATTAGGATAAAAAATACTCAATATAATATGCATTTTCAGATTAGATTAAAATGTTCAGCATTAAATTATAGAGGGGGGGGGGGCACTTGCCCACCCTGGCCACAGTGTAGCGCCACCCCTTACCGAATCTATTTTTCTACAATAGATTATCCAAACAAACACAACAAAATTAAATAAATATCACACCATTGCAAAATCAATACATTCATTGTTTCTATTAGAATCTAAAATCTAATAATTATATAATTAAATAATTTTTAAATATAACAAAATATATTGTGTATGCTATGATATTATAAAATTGATATTTTAAAATAATTTTTTAATTAAATTATTCTTTGGTGTGCTTAAATGTGTGTGGATTGACTGTTAATACTTTTATTTTTTAACTCTCAATTCTTTTTATTATTTTGAAATACATAGTACCTAATATTATATTATATTTAACAAATTTTTTTTTTGCTTTAAATTTTTAATTATTAGAAAATATAACTTATATGAATTCTTGTAGCTCATTATAAATATTGTATATTGTTATTCAATAGTTATTACAAATGTAGCAAAAGGACCATGCACTTTTGTCCTGGAACCATGAAAAAGATGGTCGACGGAACACTAATAGTGATGAGGTCTCACTCTAATCATGAGCGCTTAGATGATACCCCTGAATTAGTAGATGCTTTAAAAGCAGTACTAAAAAGAAGAGCTGCTACTGAAAATATTTTATTAAAAGAAATTTATGACGAAGAGTGCCTAAGGTAAATTTTTGAAGTTTTATTATTGAAAAATTAATTACAATTGCATATACTTATTTATTGATTTAGGCATCCGATAGCAGCTAGTTTATATCCATGGCCTACAGCTGAATCTTTAATGCGTTTGGCCCGCAGGTCAGTAATGCCTAGATTGCCGGGGAGCCTTCAGGAACTAGCCACCTTATTTGATAATGGGCATCTTCAAAGATACAATTGCTGTGACATTACAATATTTAGGAGCTGTATTCGTGACCTTGATGGTAAAACTAGCCTGATATTTGCATGTCCAATTTTGTCACAAAGTTTATTTGGAACTGGAATTGAGGAGCTTCATGTAGACGCTACTTTTAAAGTGGTTCCAGTAAACATGGGCTATCAATTATTGAGCGTACATGCTATGATACAAAATTATGTAAGTATATTATACCTAAAACAAAAATTTAACTTACAATTGTATTTATTAAATTGATGTTCATTAATTAATTTATTTATCTATAGTCAATACCAATTATATTCGCACTAATGGAATCGAAGTCTAGAAATTCATATGACAGTGTATTTCGATATGTCAAAGATAATCTTTTAGCAAACATTTCTCCAAGGATTATTATAAGTGATTATGAATCTACACTTAGAGATGTTCTACAATCATATTTCCCTGAAGCTCGAACATCTGGTTGTTGGTTCCACCATAATCAAGTACCTACCTAAATAATACAAATTTTTATTTTAATTACATTTTCGCTTAATGATTAGTATACTTAAGTTATTTATATTTAAATATTTTTTTAGGCAGTTTTTAAAAATATGAAAAGTAAAGGATACTATAGGCTTGTAAATACTAACCAATTTGCACTGCAAAGCTTAAAGCTTTTATTTGGCCTTCCATTGCTTCCATATCAGGATATAGAAAGAGCATTTCAATTAATTAAGATGTATGCAATCAACCATGGAGTAGCAATGCATAATTTATTTGACTATTATGAGAGGTAATTAGTTGTTAATATTTAAAAATCAATACATATTGGATTGTTGTGAAACTATTGATGTATAATGGTTTTATGTTTTTTTCTCTGTCATATTTTTTAGATAAAATGTTTAGATATTCTACTCTAACTCAGTCTTTAAAGGGGTTTTCTAGAAGAAAATTAGATCTAATCGGTACTTTGGGAATAAGGTGGTTAAAAGTAAAAGTGCATAGTATCATTTTTTTAATATTTAAAAGGTTTTTTTGCTATTTGTAGATGGTATAATTTTTCTTTTATTAGCATTTTTTTTTTATCTATGTTATAAATTTAATTTTTGGTTAAAAAGTATAATATATGGTTGTTCATAAGTAGTTCTAATTGAAATTTAAAAATCTAATAAATATGGATAGGAAAATACATTTTTTTTGTACCCATTTGAAGTTCAAATTTTTACGAAATTCGATATTTAAACAAAGTAGATAAACTGTATTTTTTTTTAATAATTCAAATAAAATTGTTAGTAGTAACTTGAAACTTTTATGTATATTTTGTATTTTACTATCACAGTGACTTTTATAACATATATTTAGATTCATTTAAAGGTGAATATCTATACCCTAAACCTAATTACTTATAGTATCTTATTAAGTATATACTTGGTTTGTAATGTTTGTACTGTAGGTACAGTTGAATATTTGAACACCATAAATAAAACTTATTTATTATATATTTATACCTGTGTTTAACTAGGTATTGGTTGCGCCGTGTGGGAACTCAGATAATTTCAGTTCATGGACTTCCTAGGCGTACAAACAATAATATTGAAAGTTTCCACAATAAGTTAAGAATAAAATTTTCAGTGACTCATCCCAATTTATGGATATTTTTAAGTATGTTAATCAATATTATTAATTAAATACTACTTTTAAACTATAAAACTGATTTTTTAACATTTGTTAACTGAAAATACTAATTATATAAATGTATGGATTGTGATAAATATTTTATAATGTAATTTATATTATATAATGAATTACCAAACAAATAAGTATGCATCTTCTGATAATTCATGTTTCTGAAATTTACTTAGAGAATTTTTATTATAGGTAATTTGAGTAATTTATTTAATAATTACCATATCATAATGAGGCAGCTTGAAAATAATCTTCAACCTACTAGGAGTTTGAAGGCAAAATATTTATTACAATCCAAAAGACTTAAAAATGCCACAAGTCAATACGATGCTGGGATCATAAGTATGTGGCAGTTCATGCAATTGACTTCGTATACCACATCAAGATATATATCTCGACATATAAATTGGATCAATGAGGTAGATCCAAATTCTGAGCCAGAAGTGGAAGCTGCTGCTGTTGTACAGCCTATTCAGGAACCACAACTGCCTATAGCTCCACAAGTGTCAACGTGCATGGTATGTTTGAATGCAAGAGCAGCAAATATTCAACAGTATATTGTTATTCCTTGTGGTCATGCATGGGTTTGCAACAACTGCATTACATCGCTTCCAGCATCAACAAGATGCCCTTTATGTCGAATGGAAGAAGTCACTTTTCAAAGAATTTTCTTAGACTAAACTTTTCTTCTAGTTTTGAAATATTAAATTGTTCATCAAACAATACTATACAATATGACATAAAAATCAATTGATAATAAATAACTTAAAAAAATGATTATTATTATAAAGTTACATTGTAGTTATAATATATTATACAGTTATATCAAAAGGGTACATTTATTTTTTTCAATTTTAAAAAATATAGTTTTGTCTAACAAAACATAAAATAAATATGAAAAAATAAATACACCTACCTCATCTATAGTACCCTTTTGAAATAAACAATAAAAATAATACAAAAACAAACCTGGAAATTATAATTAAGAATAGTTTATTACCTAAAATATTATTGTTTTTCATATTTATATTCATGTTGCAGTACACAATATGACATGTCTGTGTTTCAATCAGTATTCGCCCTTAAACTGGTAACATTTGTTAAAACCTACTATATCCATTGGTCATCTGTAAATTGCCTATTGATAGGTCAAAATGTCAAATGTTTAATATTTTTTTGGTAAATTACGATTGATTGAAGTCAAGAATATTTAAAACATTTAACGTGTTAACAACTTTATTATATACTCGTTCCATATTTGTGCTAATAACTGTATTCCAAGGTGTATTGATACAACCTTGCTGTAGAGAGCCTTGATATAGAGGGAGTTGCCAACTGGTGTGATAGCAGCCATTAATCGTCCAAACGTTTCCCGCCTTTTTTTAAATTTAAACACTTCAGCTAGGGGCATTATACACTGATTTTTTAGCTTATAACCTTATTATAGTTAGTGTTGTAAAGTATTTGAGCATTAGTATTAAAATACTTTTACAAGTATTGAATAAGTACATATTTTAAATACTGTTTATCAAAAAGTATTGAAGTGTATTTTATTCTATTGAACACTTTCCAATAAAATACTTTTTTCCAATTAAAACTATATGGAATATATTATTCACTTAAAATGTATAAATAATTATGATAAAATAAATTTTTTGATAAACATTATATTGACATGATTGATGTAAGTATATATGTTTATAAATTGATAATGTGTTCACCAATGTAATGTGTTGTTCTTTATTCCTACTATAAATTTGATATAATAGGTTTTCAAAACATTGGTTATAAGTAGGCCTGGATTTTTATGTTTTAAAATTTTTTTATTGAAAGTATGCAACTCCAATTGGATAATATTTTTCGACGATTAAATTTCCAATAAACTGATATACAATTTTCAGCACATAAAAGCATATTCAAGGTAAAACAATATTTTGTACAAAATGTTATGTTTTAGAAATATATTGAAGTTCATTATTTGAAATTTTCTCAAAAAAATATATTTATTAAAATCATTTTATTACATTTTTGAATACATAAGGTAGGTAGATTTTTAGGTATAAATTGAGTATTAGACCATCTAGAAAGTATAATAAAGTGGAAGGTACTTACTTTTCAATAAAGTAATGATGAAAGTATTCTGAATTATATTTCAGAAAAGTTAAAAATAATTTTAATAGAAACTAAAAAAAGGTGGGTAAGTGGATGTCGCTCTGCTGTACAGTAGGTTACAAGTGGGTCACCGTATAATGGGTGCTATTAAATTTGAATTCAATGATACAATATCATTGTATAAGAAAAACTTTAGAACTATTAAATTTTCAAGTTTTTTAACCAACAAATAAAATTTTATTGATATTTCTAGAAAAAAAAAATGAAAAATGAAAATGTCCCTAAACATTTCAAAATAAATTAAAATATTTTGAAAATGTTATTGTGTATAGAAAATGCAAATATAAACAACCAGTGAAAATTTCATGTATCTAGTTTCTACGGTCATTTGTTTTAAAGTTACACCAAAAACCAAATTCAATTTTCTGAAAAATCGATTTTGCGTAAAAATTCCCGTTTTTACTTAATTTTTCTTTTGTTTTTCTTGGCGCTTTTGAAAAGTACTGGAAATTTAAAATTTTGACCTCCCCAATGCACCAACGATATTCAATTTCTAATAATGAAACAAGTGATAACGAGCGATAAATATGTAACGAGTATCTAGATATTTTTTTTTTGCCCATTGGCGTCACGGCTGGATCACTGGTATAATTCGTGGTATAAAACCACGGACTAAGATATAATATATCTTATATTATATATCTATATCTTATATATTATATTATATCTTAGTCCGTGTATAAAACATAGACCTATTATCAATTTGTCAAACATTGATAAGCAACACGTGATCATTTTCTTATCAAATTATATTACGAACACGGCCTTCTAAGGCCGTAATTATTATGAATATCCAAACGACAAACATTCCAAACACAAAATAACCAAAATGCTCACTTATGAGAACTCTCAAATCAGTGAAAATGTATCATAAGAAATCATTGGAATGTTTCGAAATCTACAAAAATCGTTATTGTCCTGTTAATTAGGTACCTATTTAAGAATAAAATTAGTGCCAAGCAATGTGAAAACAGTACGGCCCTCATGTAGTGGTTATACATGAAAAAAAAAAAGGTACCTATTTAGGAATAGTGGACAGTTAAAAATTAAAATACAACGTATTAATTGTTATTATACGAATATTAACATGATAAGACGTTATAATAATAATAATATGTTAGTATTAGCCAATAAGGCATTAAAAACTTAAATTTCCAAGCAAATAATACATAGTTAGGTATTTTACATGTTTAATATTTTAAAATATATTACAATTTTCTACTATTTTTTCAACCATCAAAATATCTAAACTGGACTATTTTTTTATTTAATGCAATACTTACCTATGAATAAGAAGTTATTTATACCTATTTAAGATACAATTAAAATGAATATAAAACCTTTTTGGTTATTAATAAATAATAATATAAATATATATTTGTTGTACTTATGATACTATGCATTTTTTTGGCTACATCATCCTATTTTATTATAACATCATATAATATTATATTATATATCAATGTGTTTATGATGATTAAATAAATAAATAATATATATTGTTGGAAAAATTAACTGCATGTGCCAATTAAACAGGAACTTCATAAATTAATGAATTAAACAGATTGCCTGTGTAAACTATTTTAAAAAATATCCATCGAGCTCTCATAATATGGTATGTAATATGGTAGTTTGTTAATGTATCTGCATCTTATTTTTAAACTCCAAATTCTATAGTTCGAATATTTACTTACTTAAAAACAAATTACGCGTTCATCTTGTAATGGTCATACAACATACGTTTTAATTATTATTTAATATAACTCTGTGAAGGTATAAATATATGTTTTGAAAAAAGTTGTTTTTTTAAATATGCAATGATTATAAAAATTCGTCAAGTATTTAACAGCTTTACTGTGCAGTAGGTATCAAATGTGTCTCATCATTAAATATTTGAGTATGTAACTGTAATGGATGTGTTAAATTTAAAGCACACGACAAGAAATGATTCTGAGCGAAGACTGTCTAATTTTTTGGTAGGTACCTAACCTAAGTTACAGAGCATTTATTTTAACTACAAACAGATTTCAATAAGAAACACACATTATTGTAAAGTAAATTCATATTCATCGCTCCATTGACCACTAAGAATAATAAAAAATATATTGTTATGGGTATTATTTATTTTTATTTATACACAATTTCTTATAATTTAATGTGACCAAATTATGATCAGTGATCACATATTATCTTTGTAATAAATAAAAATGAACACAATAAGAATATTAATTGATAACAACGAAAGCTCGGGTCAACCTAGGCTACTGGCAATAAAGATCTAGCAATAAAGTTCTCAACTTTCTTTTTCAGGAGTTTCAAATAGGCAATTTACAATACTTTCCGTAAATATACGTTCCGGATAAATACGTTCCGGACAAATACGGTTTATAAGTTTTTTTTAATTCCGGAGGTATACGTTCCGGCAAAATACGGTTTTTAACTTTTGGCTTCCGGTGATATACGTTCCGGAATTATACGGTCCGTATAAATACGTTCCGGGCAAATACGGTTTAGTATTTTTTTTAATTCCGGAGGTATACGTTCCGGCCAAATACGGTTTTTCACTTTTGGATTCCGGAGATATACGTTCCGGATTTATACGGTCCGGAATTTATACGTTCCGCCCATTTATTTTCCGGATTAATACGGCCTCCCAAGCGGACTACCGGCTACGCGGCCCTCGGACGTATAAAACGCGAGATTTGCAAATTTGATATCGAACCTCGAAACGCATGTATTTATGCCTGTTTATAGCAATACGTAATCGGTACCTACTCTCTTTTCCGCGACGCCACTCCACCCCGGGACTCGTTTTTGAAAAAATAGGGGCGGGCGCCAGCTATACAATTATCGGGGAACGCGAATAAGTCGTCGACGGGGAGGGTGATGCGACCGAAAGGGGCTAAAACTCGAATTTTCGAAAAAAACGGCAAATGGAGAAGTCATATAGTCGTACTATTTTTTAAAATAGTTTATTAATATTGTATTAAACAGAATTTAACCAAATCAGAATCACGTAAAAACTGTAATACTCGAATTTTGAAAAAAAACTTAATAATTGTCATAAAGACAATTTACATAATTTCTTTTCATGACATAATGATTTTCATTTTACATAATTTCTTTTACAATACATAATTTTTCATCACAAAACATAACAATATTTCTTTTTATAACAACATAACATAACATAACATTTTTTTTTTGTATATATAACATAACAGTTTCATTACCTAACAATATATAATATATTTTTCATCTGATTTTTAAACATAATAACATAATAATTAAAAAATTTTATTTTTTTTTTTGTTAACACATTATACCTTAATAACTAATACAATAACATACTATATTACTGTAGCATTGGATACAATAATATTTTAATGTTAAGTTACATGTTATATATAATTTATTTTTAATGATTACAAATATTTCATAATCTCCAATGGAATTACAGACCAGTATATTTAATAAGTGCGTGTTTAAAATGTATCTTTACATTATT